GTTCATTGGCATATTCCATTTCTTCAGTACCTATCACAGTGTTTATACTGGTTGTGAACATGGTACTTCATTCTTTCACAAAGTTACCAGTATTTGATCCCCTCACTTTGCACATCTGGGGACGTATCATGAACCAGACGAAGTTCTGTTTGCCCTAGAGCTTACATTCAAATGGAGAAGATAGTAAGACAAATAAAAAGTCAATAGTCGATATAATGTCAGGTAATGAACATGCTGTGAAGAGGAACAGGGAAGCAAGTTGAGACAGACAGATGAAGCAAACAGGTGATAGAAGGATCTGGAAGGATGAATTACTGGAAAGAAAGCATCACAAATAATGGGCAGTTGGTGTTTTATTCAAATCAGTTTTGAAGAAATAAGTTATTTCTTTAGGAAATGAATTTTGAACCATATCTCACGGCATAAATTCTAGGACTTAAAAGTTAAGTGTGCAAATGAAACCATCAACTAGAAGAAAATTACCTTACCTGTGGATGGGGTGAGAACGGCCAAGTCCAAAAAAGTATGGGAAGAAACTCCACGAGATGATTGATGGACTACATATAACTTATTATTTGTGGGATCAAAAGAAAATCAGGAAATTATAAAGTGGACAAATTGAGGGAAATACTTGCTATAAATGAGAGTAATAAAAAGGCTAATAATATAGCACATGCCCTCAACTGTAAAGCTCTTCTTTCCTTGCCTTTTAATGTTTCTTGAAATTAGAATGTTTTTCATCCACAGTGTACATTTAATGTGGTCATTAAAAACGTTAAATCAGTGGTATATCTGACAAGTAATAACATCTTAGAATCAAAATGCGATTTTTAAAATTCATAAAAATTAATATGGGCATGAAGTTCGTAGTAGAAAATACTTCATTCATTCAACAAATATTTGAGTGTAGGGACGCCTGGGTGGCTCAGTCGTTAAGCATCTGCCTTCAGCTCAGGTCATGATCCCAGGGTCCTGGGATCGAGTCCCACATCGGGCTCCCTGCTCAGGGGTTGGGGGGCATCTACTTCTCCCTCTCCCTCTCCTACTCCCCCTGCTCATGCTCTCTCTCTGTCTCTCTCTGTCTCTCTCTGACAAATAAATAAATGAAATCTTAAAAAAACAACAACAACAAATATTTGAGTGTTTTTGATGTGGTGAGGTGGCCGGTATAAGAGTGGTAAACAAAATAGACACAAATCCTTGCTTTTAAGTGCCCCCTCCAGGCCAGTCACTCCCTGGTTCCATGTACTCTACTTGCATCCAACCTAAGATCAGCCCGGTCATTTCAGCGAGAATGAGGACCTTGGCCAACACCACTCAGTAGTTAAGTGATAGAGACACATCCAGCTCAAGTCAGCGTGGCTCTAAACCCTGTGTACTTCCTCAAATTACCATAATTGTTGAGCTAAGTGGAGTGTTCACGCTCAGTCTTGCTGACAGAGCCTCATTCCCTGCGCTCCCCCTGCCTCTCACTTGCCTGAGCCCTGCCTTTAGGACTCCCATCAAGGACCTGTTGGTGGAAATAGGAAGTGGGTGCCCCAGCCAAGGCGTACGTCTTTTTAGCCAAGAATAATGTTTTGTCAACAAGACATGTAAATAGTCTAATCCTGCATCATTAGGTGCCCTCCTGTATGCTTTTTCAACCTATGCTAAATAATATCGATCACTTAAATTTCAACAAATGTTTTGGCAATGAAAAACTAAACAATCTGTGGTCATAGATGTTGGGGAAGGACAGGGAGGAAAAAGGCCAAGCCATACGCCGATCTCAATGTCTGAGAGAAACATAATTAGAAGTTGTCCTAAGTTGGGGTCTCTGGAAGCAGAGCCTGTGTTGGGGAATTCTTATGCAGGGGATTTGATGCAGGGAGAGGGGAGAGTTGGGTGGTGGGGAGAAGTTAAGTAAGGAGGTGGTCTCCACTGGAGAATAGCTCCCACTTGATCCCACAGGGAGCCCTGGAGTATGCATTGTACTCCCCGACACTGAGGCGGGGAGCTGATCTTCTATACCCCTGTGTCAGCCAGCCATTGGCTGTGTGCATCCTGGGGGTCAGGTGTGGCTTAACCAACCCCAACTGGCTGGGGACAATTGTCCCTAAGGAGGAGGCAGCTGTGAGCCACTGTGGCCAGCTCCCACCCAGTAAAGGGTCTGGGTGGGACACCCAACAGCATCCACTGCATAAGGTCCAAAAAAATTAATCTGGAAGATTATCCAGTGATAGGTTTTGACACATGACGGGACACTCTGACTAGATGTGCCTATTGAACACAGGATTTATGATCAAGAAGCTTCTTGGTTTTTATTTTGCTTTAGGGTGTTAAAGTATTAGATCAGATCAGATCAAATAGATTAGATGTATTTGCTAGAAGGAAAATTTTTTCTAAGGAAGGCATCATGGGAGGCATGCTCCACAAAGGGTAATAAGAAGGTTCTTTTGGGAATTTTTAAGTATTATTGGAAAAAAAGGAAAAGATGATTAGACATATAATTGGAAACAATTATCAAAAACTAGCTTATCTAATACCAACTTTGTCAGAAGAATGATACTAAATTCCTACAGCTATTAGATATTTTTCTTCTAGGTTTTTCTAAAACCATTTCACACATTGGTATTTTCCTATAAATACTTTTTTTTTTTCCTCACTGTGCTTTGCATAGAATATTCAACTATATAATGATGGATACATTGTCGTTATTTGTCAAAACCCCTAGGATGTACAACCCAAGAGTGAATGCAAACTATGGTCTTTGAGTGATAAAGATGCATATTGTAGGCTCATTGACTGTAAAAATGTAGCACTCTGGCATGGGATATTGATAGTGGGGAAAGTCATGTGTGCTGGGCCAGAGGGAGTATAGCAACTTTGTACATTCTGCTCCACTTTGCGGCTCTAAAAAATAAAGTGTATTGTTTTGTGCTTTGGGGCCCTAACATGGGCCCCAGTGAGCCCTCCACAGACATCTCCCCCTTTCAAAATCAGTGTTACTACTGGGCTGCCCCTTGTGGATCTTACTATGATTGCTGGATGCCCTTCAGCAACAACCATCAGGAAACTTTGAAAAAAGAAAGGTTCATGACTTACTAGACCCAGAAATTGCACAGCACGCCTGGGCTACCCCAGTGAGATGGGGGGCGGGGAGCACACACACACACACGGGCCTGGGATTCTGCTTTTATTGGAGTCAAGGGTGGGAACGCAGAGTTTCACAGCCTTACTCTTTATTGGTGAATTTAAGACATAAGAACAGGAATTTAAAGCTCTTGGGGAAGAGACAAGTGGCCCAAATGGCCAATTATGAAATCAACTAAGATCTCTAAAACAAAGGAGCCTTAGTGGTGAGGAAGGTAGTCTGGCTCTTTATCTAGTCGTGTGGCTGGCCATGGGTTTATGCACGATAGTTTTCTTGAAAGTGGATGCCTCTTTGAAATAGTTGTCTGAGCAATCAAAACTTACTGTCCATGCTTACACTACATCTGTTTCTAAAAGTCTATGACTGCATAGAAAGCCGACTCTCCTTAATCAGTTTCCTGTTCCTAAAGAACTGGTGAGGTCCTAGCGACGTTTTGTTGTTTTTTTTTTAATTCTATCCACCTGGACATCCATTCCCACATCTGTGGTATAATTGTCGAGCAGCAAGTTTGGAAATGCCATCATGACAAGGCCACCTAGGTACCTCAGACGGTCCCTCATGGACGATGGTGAAAACGATCAGAATATTCTGGGGCACCTGAGTGGCTCAGTGGGTAAGCGTCTGACTCTTGATTTCGGCTCAGGTCATGATCTCCGGGTTGTGAGTCGGAGCACCGCTTAAGATGCTCTCTCTCACCCTCTCCCTCTGCCTCTCCCCACTCCCTCCCTAAAAAAAAAAGAAAAAAGGATCAGAATATTCTGTGACCACAACTTCTTGAGCAAGCATCATCCAAAAACAGTGTTTTTGGTTTAAAGGTTTTCTTTTCATACTTGTTTGCACAGAGCTCAGGAGTACATTTCAAGTTAAAATACAGTAAGAATTGGGTAAATAGCATCTGTCAGTTGTATGATATATTCCTTCAGTACTTCTTTTTTTTAAGATTTTATTTATTTGACATAGAGCGACACAATGAGAGAGGGAAACAAGCAGGGGGAGTGGGAGAGAGAGAAGCAGGCTTCCCACTGAACAGGGAGCCCGATGCGGGGCTCGATCCCAGGACCCTGGGATCACGACCTGAGCCGAAGGCAGACGCTTAACAACTGAGCCACCCAGGCGCCCCTTCAATGCTCTTTTCATAGCATAGAATCCACTCTATGCTATGAAGGGTACCTACATAACACATACATGGTATTTCAGGTTATGGGTGCACACGCACACGTGCACACGTCCCCCTTCCTTAAAGAAGAGAAGCCATCACCCACTCCGTACAAGGTGTCTGACTCATTTCTAGAATGCCTGTTGCCCTTACATAAATTCAGCCTACAAATAAAATTTAACATGTTAAGCTTTTAACCAAAACTTCCTAGAATCATTTTCTGGTATTAGCATAAAACGCTTGTTGGGTTTTCCCTCTATTACTTTAACCCCAACGGGCAGGTATCTCCCCTACGAGAAGATATCTCGAACCAAAGCTAATACGGATGAAAATGAAAACTAATAACCTTTATCAAGTTATGGTGAGCTTTACCCTAAAAGCTGCCCAGCGTCTCTATAGAAACCTGTCCGCTGAGTTTTTATTTTGGAAGTGTGCATCCCCGGGGATGCAACGACATTTCTTTTTTTTTTTTTTTTTTTAAAGATTTATTTATTTATTTGAGAGAGCGAGAATGAGAGAGAGTACATGAGGGGGGGAGTGGGAGAGGGAGAAGCAGGCTTCCCGCTGAGCAGGGAGCCCGATGGGGACTCGATCCCAGGACTCCAGGATCATGACCTGAGCCGAAGGCAGTCGCCTAACCGACTGAGCCACCCAGCCGCCCTGCAACGACATTTCTAATGCTGTTTGTGGGCTGTCTTTCTCCCCCCACAGGCCTTGAACCGGGGCATTGCTGCTGTCAAGGAGGACGCGGTGGAAATGCTAGCCAGCTACGGGCTGGCGTACTCCCTAATGAAGTTCTTCACGGGTCCCATGAGTGACTTTAAAAATGTGGGCCTGGTGTTCGTGAACAGCAAGCGAGACAGGACCAAAGCCGTCCTGTGCATGGTGGTGGCCGGCGCCATTGCCGCTGTCTTCCACACCCTGATAGGTAAGGCTGCTGACCCTCGCGCAAGGCGCTCGCTGGGGGCGTTTCTTGTTCTTTTCCGGCCACTCGAATGCATTTATTGCAGTAAGTGACTTCTCCAGTAATTATTAAAACATTTATCATGAAAATCTCAAGGGATGAAAGGAATGGCGTTTGTGCTCCTAGCGCAAGAAAGGAACATGTGTTTTCCCTGGGAAGTCCTAGCTTTCATTCTTTGACTCCCAAGCCCTGTGTCGGAGAGGAAGTGATTTCAGTAAGGTCGGCCACTTGGCCCAGGCTTCCTAGAGACACGCATTACGACACAGACTCAATCTTAAAAATAAAAACAGAATGGTGGTTATTTAGGATTGATGCCTGTCAGCAGTGAGAACAAATGGTTGTTTTATGTGTTAAATAAATGAAACAGGTGGTTTTATGTATTGAAATTAACTTATTTTAGGGGCTCACAAGGCTATTTTATTCAAAGATGAGACTAAATACCGTGGCATAACATTCTTTCCATGCAAAAATAAGGAAGCTATATCATACATACAGTGACCCGCAGAGAGTTGCACCAAGACCTTGGAAAAGGACTTGCTTAGGAGCCTCAGTCCTGCTTCTACTGCCTTCTGGGTGGCGATAAAACCCTAAGAGCCTGACTTCGGGGCTCCTTGGCTTTAAAACAGCTCAGCTTACCGGGCATAAAAATTGAGCGGCACATCTGTTGAGCCCAGTTGCATAAAACCCGTGAATAACACCCCATAAATCTATCGTGTACCTTCAAAACGGCACTGGCTGCATGAGCTCCATGAATGTCAGTGGTTAAATAAAGGAGTCAGAAAATTAACCCAAACCATTCAGGGTGTATTCAGATGGCAGCTAATGGTTACTTGCACGACCGTGAATCTAAAAGGAAATGGGGTGAGACCCTTTTAGTTTTCCTCTTGAATGTAGCGCAGACTTCTGTGCTGAGAACAGTGTGAAACCGTAAGAAGATGCTAGTCACAGGCCAGATTTTGAGCCAAAGTGTTGATATTGGTCGTTTAACTTGGGCTCAGAGCTTCAGGGCCTGGGGTTGAGAGGAGATGCTCTTCTTCCTTCAACTCATGCCCTGAATACTAACTTGTGCATGTGCTTTGAAGAAACGTCCTACACCTGGATTTGATCTGGTATATGCCTTGGGGAAAATTCCAGACGTGAAATGAGTAGGTCTAGATAATTTGTGTCACAATGGGTAAATTAGTTCCCTTTTGCTACCAGTTTATTTGGATTTCTTAAATAAGCCTAACGTTCCCTATTTTAGTCATAGTTGCATAAGGCTTTGGGACTAATAGCTAATTACTAGGCGTCAGTAATCACGGAAGAGAAAAGCTGAGCGTCCTGTGTTACGGAAACCGGCATAAGAAACATGTGGTCATCAAGATAAAAAATCAGCATCGTTTTTCAAGTTAGATCTAAAATTTTCCTTTTTAAAAGAGAATTATAAAATCTTACGTGTGAATCAAGAACAGTTCTACGTCCCAGATCGATGTAGCAGTTGTTTTGAGTAGACTCTTGGAATTCTTTTGGACTGAGACTTTCGAGTCTAGAAGATCCACCAACCCAAAAGTTCGTGTCTGCTCTGTGTACACCAGAGCCTGGCTCTCGATATCGAAACTGCAGGAGCCTTGGGAGTATTTCCAGCTTTTAGTTCCTGGTCTTTGTTGGGCAGCCGCCAGTAAGTGTCTCATTTTAGCTAAACTGTGACAACACTACTTTTGTTATGGGCACATCTGTGAGACACCACTTTTTTAAATTGCAGGGCATGGGGTTTGCCATGACCAAACCTTAATTTAGGCCAGTGGTCAGGATGTAGGTGTTCTCCTACTTTCCCCTCTTAATTAATCCATGGAAGAGAGGAAGACTTGCTGACCGTGTATTTGGTTAATTTGAGTCCAAGTTAATTTCACCTGCACGAAGTGAGTAGCGCCTGACCACCTAATTCACACAGATGGAGAAACCACGGCTGCGGCCGTTTGCTTTGTTCACACAGTTGATTCTCAGCAGGGACCTGTAAGGCCTCTTCCGTGTCCCAAAGCAGCCTGGGCAGTCAGCACAGCTTGGGGGAGCGAGTCCCGAAGCTCCTCCAGTAACTTCTAGAGTGGGTCCATTCGTCAACCTTCCCATGTCGGCCAACTTTTCCATTATTCACGGATTGTAGACCCATCCTGAAAAGGGTAAAAGGGTACAACCTGACGTCATCGAAACCACCAAGGGTGCTGGACACGGACAGTTTCAGCATAGTCTCAAAATGTATCGCCACGTAACTGACCCCGCCCCCCATACTCAGTGACTGTGCTCAGCTGAGAGTCAGGAGGCGGCGCTTGGTGGGCTCGCTGGGGGGCCATCAGCCAACAGTGGGCTGGCCCAGATGGCCTCTCCTGGGACAGCTGGGCTCTCTTCCACCAGCCTAGCTTGTGTGGACAGCTGTGGCAATACCGTGAGTGAGAAGACAGAGGCCCACAAGGCCTTTTGAGGCCAAGAATTGGACGTGGCCACCATCTCTGCTCCCGTGCACGACTGGCCAAGAAATCCCAGGCCAGCCCAGGTTCAAGGGGGTAGGGAAATAGACTCCAACTTCTCACCAGAGGAACTACGAAATCATACTGCAGAGTAGGGATAAAAGGAGGAGAGAAGAATCGGGGACCTCTTGCAATCAGTCTACCCCAATCACTTCTTCGGGGGATGATGGATTCATGCATTTTGTTCAATCAGTATATATTGAACACCTACCGTGTGGCAAACGGTGGGCTAGATCCCGGGAATTCAGATATGAATAAGGCACGTTCTCTAGAGAAAAGCAAGATATCATGCAGTAAATTATTACAAATCCCACTCCGCTGAGACTCAACACCAGTGAGATCAAATTTACGTTCTTGTGTTAAAAATCTCACATTCACTGTGCTGAATTTATGCATGGGTTTATGATATATCTCCAAGGCCTGGGCAGCACTGTACTTCCCACACCCGTATCTTCCAGATAAATGTTGCACAGTGCAGTCTCTAGAGGGATGTCCTATGTCGGTGTCCCAGCCCCCGTGCCGGCAACCAGCCACTTCAGGTCAGCTGGAATGGGCCTGACGCATATGAGCCGTTTGACCATATGTGTGGAAGTGACTTAAATATCAGCCATACAAGCACACATGCTTGGAAATGATTCGTTAGAAACACAGGGGTCAGGTTCCCTGCCTCTGTGAGAAGCCTAGTAAACAGAGAAGCATAATCAGTGAGACTTACGAGACTTTTAACTCTGGGAACTTGGGAATTTGAATAAGAATAAGGGTTCGCCTCTTGGAAATGCACATATTATCCTGTTACTAGAATGGCAGGAGGGCTTTCTCCTCACTTCCCAGGGGAAAATAGGTGTATAGACTTGTCTTGATTAATATTAACGTTTTGTGGCTGTTTTGCAACAAGCACTAGTAACTACTGGATGAACAAGCCTGAGAACCACTGATTCTGGAAAGAGTCCGTCACCCTGATGGGCCCAGGGCAGAAGAGCTAGGGATTTGACCCAGGGCAGAAGAGCTAGGGATTTGAATGGCCCTTCTGGTTTCTTCTTGTTTGGGTGGGGTCAAAAGCTGTCTACCTATAAAAAGTTCAAGCCTGTGTCCTCCCTGCTGTGGCCACATCATGAAATCTGTTTACGTCTTGTTCAGAAGCCTTGTTTAATTTTTCTTTTTAATGTTCTGCTCTTCAGAAGGAATGTAAGCTGTCTCAGAACAATCGAGGTAGGACAGTTTATAGAAATTGATGGTCCATAAATGTTAGGGCAGCCGGCCTGGTAATTATGGACTCTATGCAAAGCACTTTCAACAAATTACCCCCAGCCAACAGCTCCAGCCAGAAACAGCTCAAGGGCACAGGAGGGGAGGGGGGAGGGATTGGGTAAAAAACAGCTGCGGGCCCATCAGTCCCAAAGTCTCCTGGAACCTGGAGGGCAGAGGAGCTGAGGACCGAGCTGCAGGCTGAAAAGAGCAAGGGGGTGGGAGGGGCAGAGTCAGAAAGCCTGGCCCACTGAGCTCACCACCCAGCCCTCCTTCAACGCATCTTCATCCCATCTTCATTATCCTGCAGAGAGGCACTATTTTTTATGTTTTCATTGAAATATTCTAATCAGTAGGTACATTGAGGTCTATCTACAGAAGGTAGAGAAACTGATTTATATTGATCTCTAGCCCACCCACCCACCCTGGACCACACAAGCAAACTGCATGCCCTGCTCTCAACTGCTCCAACTCATGGGTCCCAGAGTCTCCCGGGAAAAGACTTCTCTCTTCCCTTCTCAGAAGCCGCCTGTGTGGCTTTGCTGGGGTTGTCCTAACAATGTATCCCAGACTGGGAGGCTAAGGCCACAGAAATGTATTGTCTCCCAGTTCTGGAGGCTGGAGGATCAAGCAGTCAGTAGGGTTGCTTTCCCCCCAGGACTCTCCCCGAGCTTCTGTGGTTTGCTGGCAACCTAGAGCCTTCCTGGGTGTGCGGACACATCACCCCCATGTCTGCCTTCACATCCACGAGGCATTCTCCTTGTGTGTGTCCACCTGTGTGTCCAAACTTCCCCTTTTTAGAAGGACCCCAGTTATATTGGATTGGGAGCCCACACTGCTCCAGTGTGACCTCATCTTACCTAATGATATCTGCAATGACCCTGTCGCTGAATAAGGTCACCTTCTGCAGTCCCCGGAGACAGGACTCAACATGTGAATTCTGCGGGGACGCAGCTCATCCTGTCTCACAGCCCCTCTAGATCTTGGCCTTCCCCACCTTCCTGTCAAGTGCAGTCCATGGTGTTGTCTGTGGGCTCTAACCTTTACCCTGGAATTTCAGCCCATGAGCTATTTCTAGCCACCCGGCTCTCGCCCCTGGCATTGCGTTGCTCATCTCAGCCAGCTCGGCTGCCTTTACCTGCCCCCAGCCTCTGTCCGCCGGTGGGCGAGGATAGTCTTTGGGCTGGGGCTGGGGCGCCTCCTGGCAGGTTCCAGCACAGTGACCGGTCCCCGACTGAATGAAATGAATGTACACATAACCAGCAGCAACAGTAACAAAACCTCCAGGTTCTAGCACCCCAAGTAAACCATTTATGCACTTACGGAACACCTTCATCCGGGCCTTGTGTTTCCATCTGTCTGCATACCCCAGGTCTGAGTGCACTTCTCCCCTGGTGGGGAAGGCAGGCTGCAGGGCTCCCCCCCGCCCCTCCCCTGAGCCTTCCAGGGGCAGGTCAAGCCTTCTCTAATCTGCTTGTCTCATCTAATCTGTGTGCCTTCAGATCCAAACGTGGACATCATAGCTGCCTCCTTCCCTCCTTGTCCCACCTTCCCGGGTCTTTGCTCTTCCCGTCCTGGGACACCCTCCCTCCTGGATTTCTCTTCTTGCTGCCTCAGTGGCTCTGCTGGCCCCACCATGCTCCACCCTTGACATGTTTGCTCACCTGGCAGCTCACTTTTTGGTTTTCCCCTCAGCCCCTCCTTGGAGAGCCTCAACCTCTCCTCCTGCATTTGCCTCCCCCACCCCACCTGTTCTCAGGATGTCTTACCCATGCCAGCCCCCTGCCCCTTGAAATCACTTTACTTCCCCATCTGGGATCCCCATTTGTGCATCTAAATATCTATGATATCATCCCGAAGACCTGACTTAATTCAAAATTCCTATGATGCAAGACTAATCCGGAAAAAGAGTGGAGGCTTATTTCTTCACTATCACTTTCTTCTTCTTATCAGTTCATATGGTTCCAAGTCATCCTCCAAACTTTGAAGTGGAGCGAGGGATCTTATTATTCGCATAAAATGAGACTCTTACTGCGTCCTGTCTCCTTTCTGATTTCAAAGCAGCTTCTGTAGTTGTCCACTGCATTAATATTCATATTTATAGAAAAATGAAAAGAGCAGGAATAATGCTATTAAAGCACCATGTAAAACACTATGAAAAACACGAAGACTATTATTTCCCGGTCTAGTCTAAACATCTATCAATGAGGTAAAAATACCTGAACAGTTTACTTCATCTTTGCTCACAGTATCTGCTGGAATGCCCAGCTGATACACTAGAAAGACCTTCCTCTTTTTTCCTTTATATCTATTCGGCAGCTACAAATTCATTCAGCCTATATCAGTTCAGTGCCCATGTGCTCCCCACAAAAGATGAAACAAAAAGAATAGCAAGCCGTGAAAAGCTAGCTTTAACATTTTTTATCGAAAAGTCATATTAACAGGTGCGCCTGGATGGCGCAGTCGGTTAAGCCTCCGATTCTTGGTTTTGGCTCCGGTCATGATCTCAGGGCTGTGAGACCGAGCACCACATTGGGCTCCACACTCAGCAGGGAGTCTACTTGAGATTCTCTGCCCCTTCCCCCCTCCCTCTCTCAAAAAAATAAAATAAAATAAAAGGCATATTAACAGCTGGGAATTTTCTCTTAGTAAATAAGTAACACTCCATATAAACATTCAGCTTCCAAATGATCCATCAAGCATCCTTTCATGATATCAAACTAATGGATGCATCCTAAATGCATAATAATAGGAGACTGAGTAAGTTTATGCTGAGTAAACCTATAAAAAGGAATTCATTGCAACCATTAAAGTGTGGAAGCAAATCATGGAAAGATGTTCATGGTTTACAAAAGAATATGTATACAGTATGATCCCATTTTTGTGTTAAAACACACACGCATACCCCATGCACGTGCCCACCACACACCCATAAAAGAACTGGGCAGTTAGAACCCAGAGCATTAACTGTGACCCTCTCTGGGTAGGGGGTTGAGGTTGGAGATGATTTATTTTTCTATATGCTCATCTACTTTTTCTACACCAAAAAAAAAAAAAAATTTACATTTAACACTGTTTTTGCACCTTTGAGATGAAAAGCCTAAAAGATAACTTTTTCTAAATACTGCCATGTATGTTTCTTTGGCCTTTTGCAGCTTATAGTGACTTAGGCTACTACATTATCAATAAACTGCACCATGTGGATGAGTCTGTGGGGAGCAAAACGAGAAGGGCCTTCCTATATCTTGCTGCCTTCCCTTTTATGGATGCAATGGTGAGTAATTGTGGGCACTTTAAAAAAAATTATGGTGTACATAACATAAAATTTACCATTTTAGCCATTTTTATGGATACAGTTCAATGGCATAAAGTACCTTCACATGGCTGTGAATCTTCAGAACCCTTGTCTTATGAAACTGACTCTGTCCCCCTGAGACACTAGCTTCCCATGCTCCGGTCCCCTCCACCCTTGGCCCATAGCTCTACTGTCTGTCTCTGTGAATTTGACCAATCCAGGGATCTCCTCTGAGCAGAATGAGACAGCAGTTGTCTTTTTGTGGCTGGATCATCTAACTTCGCGTAATGCCTTCAAGGTTCCTCCATCTTGTAGCAAATGCCAGAATGTCATTTTTTATGGCTGCACGATATTCTGTATGATATGTCTGTAGAGACCCCATTTGGTTCATCCATTCATCCATCAATGGACACCCGGGTGACTTCCACCTTTTGGCTATTTTGATAATGGGTTATGAACATGGGTATAAAATACCTCCTTGAGCTTCCTGTTTTAATCCTTTTGGGTAGATAGCCAGAGGTAAAATTGCTGGATTATATAGTAAATCTGTATTTAATTTTTGAGAGGCCCTCGTACTGACCTCCATGGCAGCTGTACCATTTTATACCCTCACCAGCACTGCAGAAGGGTTCCAGCTGACCACTGACCATAACCAGCCCATCTTGTCCATTTATTTGATGAGAATCGTCTGTACTTGCCACAAAGTTTTGGCAAGAGGCAAGAGAGCCTATTTGAAAATTTTATTTAAATATAAAGTTCTTTTCTGATATATTCAGGATCAAGGGATCAGGACAGCTTTCTGATAAACTTACCGTTTGTGTGGCTTAAGCACCCAAAGCTTTTTAGAATAAGAATCTCTTGAAATTATGGATAGGATTTCATTACTTGAATAACCAGCTTCACTACATTACCAAGGGTAGCTCACTTCCATAGATTAAATTCTTTATCATGATGCTAAAGAGTTCTCAGAGAATGCTTTTTTTCTATTCCTCTGTGTTATCGAGAGTTATAAAAGAGACTTAGCAAAAAAAAAAAAAAAAAAAATTTCCAGTAATGTCCAGTGCTGGAAAATGAACCCCCCTTTGGGGCTCCATTTTAGATTACTTTTGGGAGGAGACTTAAAAATATGTTCATTTGTACAGTTTTTCACCACCCCTCCCCTCAGGTTTTATGTACTGTAAGTGTGTGAGGTAAGCGGGCGTCCACACGGAGGTGAGACTCCAGCCCCACATCCTTGGAGGAATGAACCCAGGTCATCGACGTGTGGTCCATCTTCTCCGATGTTATCAGGAGTGTTAAAACTGCCTGTCATTAGCTTGTGGACGTGGCCTCATGGAGTCTCTGACCGCTTCCCACCAGTCTGCACAGTGACCTTAAACTCAGTTTTCACGCAGAGACTCTGATTCTCAGTTGGTGTGACATCAGTGTAGGTGGGAGAATTTGGCCACCGGAGCACTGGTACCTGGATTTTCTTTTTCTTACTTATCATCCAGTAAGAAATTACTCTGTATTTACTCCGGCAGTTGACATAGACTCCAAAAAAAGAACGAAGGCAAAGGGGCTGGATTTCCTAGAGCTGGATTCCCCACGGTGCCCCATGCTGGCCTAGGGGGGCACCATAGTGCTTGGAAGCGGAAAACTGAGTGAAGTGACCTTTATCACATCCCAAAAGAGTAGAAGCCCAACTTCCTAGACAGAGTCCTGATATTGCTCTGAGGCTTGCCCCCCATCTATATGGGGGCTCTGTGAACACACAGAAGAATCACCGTTATACGGTGAAGTCAGGGACTCAGGACTAGAAGTGAATCCCAGATTCTGGTGCGCCCTATGTTTATTTCCCTTCAGCTGTATTTATCTGCCATGACAGAGTTTCTAAAACTCAGAGTAACACCAGAACATTGGTGATTAACACGCTTTGCTTTCCTGTTTCATTTACCAACTGCCCCCAAAGACCCAGCAGTAAGAGACTGTTCATAAAAAACAAAATAATGAACATTTATAAAAAGCCAGGTAATCTCCCCTAGATACACACCCCTACACACCTACACCTGCGGTGTGGCCCTAATATATTGGTTAGAGAGATAATATTTGAAAACCACAAAGCTTATCATCCCGATGGCTTTGGTCAACAAAGGGAGCCCACAAGCCACTATTTGCAAATGTTATCGACAGTTTGCATTTCTTTCCACGTCTGGCACCTCGAGACCTGTGAGCTGAGGGAGGAAATAGATGTAGCAGTTGCTATGTATGAAGTCCTGACACAGACCTTGGGAATAAACCCTATTTGTCTGATGGTGTGTAGCTCACACGAAATGTTACTGCTGTGTCGGTCCACGGTGGCCTTTCCGGGTTAGAAGGATGACCCTCACACAGATCCTGTCTTGAACTTCAGACCTCCAAAATCCCCGACCCCCAGGCTTTTCATCGTCTGCTCCCCTTCAACGCCCTTCCTCTTCATTTCCCTCAGAGGCAAAGCGTCAGATCAGATCCTGCCCCGACTTGAAGAGAAAGAGAGTAGAGCCCTCATCACTTGATGAGAACCTATAATGACTATAATAACTCAAAACCAAAGTGGAGCCCTCATTATAATACCTTCGTAGAAGGAGAATGTTTCTGCCTTGTCATTCCAGCTGCCCCAGAGAGAGAGAGAGATGGTGTTTCCTCCGTTCTTGGTATCCACCTAGCTTTCCTGCCAGGAAAACTAGCGAGCACCCTGGGCTCCGTTATCATCCGTACTAAAGAAATACTGTGCGGTCACTGATCCCACTTAAAAATCTAATGAGGACCTAGTCATCAGGCCAAGTTACAGTCATTTGGCCAATGCAAAGTTTGTCATGTGCTCCGAAGGTTCTGAAGGGGGAGGGAAGGTAGAGAGTCTATTTCCGGAATGCCCAGTAAGTCATAACGACCATAAGTCATCCAATCCCAATGGCGTCTCTCATGCCAAATTCTTTTCTTTCCGGCAGGCATGGACCCATGCTGGCATTCTCCTAAAACACAAATACAGTTTCCTGGTGGGATGTGCATCCATCTCCGATGTCATAGCTCAGGTAAGTATGGTCTGTGTGTCCATCAGAGCTCCTCGGAGCCCACGCCTGCCTCACTGACATGCATTCCCTCTGCGGGGCCTTCCTGCTTTACTCAAACCAAAGGTGGATGTCCGTGAAGGTGTGTTGAACAAGTGAGACAATGAGACCTCTTGCAGTAGAAGTATGTCTAATCCTGCAGGAAGGAGGGTGGTAGGAATTGAAATTCAGCATCAGAGGTTTAGGCCTTTAGGCTGACCCTCAGGTCCCAGCGCGCACGTGTTTGGTGGTCAGAGGGTCGCGGTGTGCTTGGCTGGGTGCACACTTGGCCCTCTCTGTGGCCTCGCAATACATGGTCTGTCCCTCGGCTCTAGAGGGAGCGCGGAGGAATTCTTCTTCCCTGTTGTTTCTCGTGTAGATGCCACACAGGGCGACCATCCACAGGTCATTAGCCCACATTTAACAAGAGCCAGGAAGTTGGACACGGTCTGAGAAGAAGGCCTACATTGCCCTTTCTGTGGAGTCCAGCTCTGGCACCAGCCCTGGTTTTCCACGTTCCCTCCTTTCTTCTGCCACCAGGATACTGCATGAAAAATTTCAGCAGAAAATTAAATTCCTATAATCTATAAATTACAATCAGAGGTTTGAGAGAACCATTTCTTCACAGAGGAGGAGGGATGGACTGATTTTTAATCTCCTTTTCCAATTCTCAGTTGCATTCTGTGAGCATTTCCATGCATTTCTGCCTCGTTTCCCCCATCGTACAAGCTAGTCTATTAGCCACCTTTTTGAAATAATCTACTGCCAAACTGTTAGTACCTCTCTAAAGACCAACAATTACATTTCCAAATTAATTGCATTTACTCCATGGATCACTATTAAAAGTAATTTAAATTAATTCCTGCTCACACCGTGTGTGTGTGTGTGTGTTTGTGTGCTCTCTCTCTCTCTCAAATAAATGTATCAAATCTTTAAAAAAAAATTTTACTAAGCTAATTGATCTCTCACCATAGTACAAGAAAGCTCTCTTGGTTTGGTTCATCCATGCAGTAATGCTTTTCTGTGCCACCATTCCTGTCAAAGGTGCTATGTTCGAAGGGCGCCTGGGAGGCTCAGATGGTTAAGCATCTGCCTTCAGCTCAGGTCATGATCCCAGGGTCCTGGCATCGAGTCCCATATGGAGCTCTCTGCTCAGCGGGGAGCCTGCTTCTCCCTCTCCCTCTGCTGCCCCCGCTGCTTGTGCTCGCTCTCTCACTCTGTCAAATAAAATCACAAAAAAAAAAAAAAAAAATAGCACTACATTCTAATATATTGCCAAAGAATTTATGAAAAATATTGCTGTTTCTGTTGTAATTCACAATCACCTGGTCAATATTTGCTCAACATCAACATGAGCATTCTCAAGACGTTGTTGGACCTTACTGGGACCTCCTGTCCTAGCCCTTGCCTCCTGAACTCAGCTGAGGGCGCCGGGACGGGAGGCCACCATCCCAGGTCAGCAATGTTGCTGTACTACCATCAGTCCCTGTCTTTTCATCTCAGCCTCCTGCCAAGATCCCACTCTTGAACCCCCTACGATGCACTTTTCACCACCTGCGCCCAGGTAGCTGGTGCTCCTGCAGCAAGTCACACGGCAGCACGCACTGATGGAACCATGCATCTCCGCTCATCACTCTCCGCCGCTGAGACTCCAGTAGCTACAGCAGACCGGCCCTCCCCTCCTCGCTCTTCCCAGTAGACCAGTTCCCTTCCCGCTTCCGTGAGAAAGTTGAAGCAACCGAATGCTCCCACTTCTGGCCACCAGACCTACAAGCCTGCCTTCAAACCCTGCGTCATCTGCGTTTCTCCCCATTCTGGGAGACAGGGTGCCCTTTCACTGTGGTCCAGAACAGCTTCTTCCACCTGTGCCTTGGATCCTGCGCTTTCTCCAGAACCGGATTCAGCCGGCTCTCCCTCATCTGTTCTCTCTCCCCTGGGTCCTTTCTCTTGATGTGTAAACATGCTCACCTGCCTGCTGTTTTAACACAACGACAACAAGAACCTTTCTCTGGCTCCCATGAGCCTCTCGAGCTACAATTCTCTCCGTTACTTCACAGCCAGACTTTTTGGAAGGGGGGGTTTTCACTCACTGTCTCCATTTCTTTTTTACTTCTATTCTTTTACCTCCTTCAAGTCTGCTTCCCCCCCCCCATCAGTTCACCCAGATAGTTCTTGCTAATGACCTTTGTGTCACTTAAGCCACTGGATGGTTCCCGTCAACTCATTGGCCATCTCTTCACTGTATTCGCTGCTCCCTGCTGCATGAAACACTCCCTCCCTCTGGTACTCAGCACCGCAGTCTTGGTCTTTCTCCTCCTTCTGAAGGCACACCTCCTCTACGGAGGTGAAAATGTGGACGTCCTCCAGATCCTTCTCTCTCCTCACTGTGTTCTGTTGGAGAAGAATCTAATTCACGCCCTAGGTCTATACCATCTCTAACAGGACCGATGATTCCCAAATATCTATAGCCAGGCCCTCTCCTCTGAGCTCCAGACAACATATCTAGATGCCTCTTGACGGCTCCACTCAGATCCTTCATTGCCACCCTAAGCTCGAATTCACACCTTTTCTATCAAGCATTTGGTTTTGAGCAAATCAGTAGCACTGTCATCGGGTCAGAAGCCTGGGGACCATCCTAGGAGCATCGTCTTCATCACCAGGCCTTTTGGATTTTAATCCTAGATGTGTCTTTCATCTGCCCTCTTCCCATCTCTCCGCCGTCACCCAGGTCCAAAGGATCACCCGTCCCACCTGGACCGCTAGAGAGGTCTCGTGACTTGCCTCTGCCTCTGCTCTGGCACTCCTTCCTTCCTTCCTTCCTTCCTTCCTTCCTTCCTTCCTTCCTTCCTTCCTTCCTTCCTTCCTTCCCACTGCAGACACAGTGATCTCTTCTCTTGGAAATTCTGGCCCCACTGCTCAGAAGCTGTTTTAAAAATTGCTTCCAGGGGTTCTTGAGATAAACAATCAAAATAATGGCGGACGACGTGCTGAAGACCCTTGGGCTCTGCTTCCTCTCCAGCCTGGAGCTCTTCTCTCGTCCCCTCGCTCCCTGCACCCCAGCCGCGGGCACTCCATTCAGGGCCCTGGTGTGGCAGAGGTCCCTTCCACGGGGGCTCTTTGCTTCGGCCCCTCTGCTCAGGAGGAAATGCTCTGCCTCAGGTCCTCCTACCTGCCATGGACTCTTGCCACTCCTACCTACCTCCTGCGGAGGCTGCAGGTCTCAGCTCAGACGGCACACAAGGGGATGCCCTCCCCCACAGCAGCAGGGCCGGCCGGCAAAGCCACGCTTCCTTCACCCTGTTGGTGGACGCTCGCCAGTGTCATGGTCTGATTCCCGGCCCTGCTCTTCCGCTGGACTGTCAGCTCCTGGGTACTCAGGAGATAACACAGGGCCAGCACAGAGCAGGCTCTCCCCGGGAAAATCCTCATTAAGAGAGTAGGTTCCCGCTCAGAAAATAACCTGATGTTTTTGGTGGCGATATCGGATTCAACATCATAATTCTGGATTGAAATGCAGAAGGCCCTGTGTTATCTTAAATTGATGAACAGTACAACCACAGTGAAGATGTAAGCTCTGTGATGGGTGCTGGGCCCCACGGCATCAAGCTGGTAAATGTGAGGGAGGCTGTGTGAGAGCCACTGACCCAGGGCATCCCCCTCCCTCGGTCCCACATAGCCCGCCCCGATGCCCAGGCCGTTTTCTTGTCATCACCGCACTTACTTCTCTTTTGCCTGTGTCCCCCTTTTCCTTCTTATCGACATCCTCCTCCGTGGTCCTGCCCAGCAGGCCTCCATCTCCAGTGGCCATCCTGATGGCCCCGGGAGCCTTCCTGGACTTGGCAGCAGAGCGCTCGGTCCTTGTATTCCTTTCTCGTACAACGAGTTTTCAGTCTCTTCTACACACAGTCATCTTAGTTTACACTGTGGGTTTCTATCTGCCAAACGGTCAGCTTGCCTCACCCATTCGAGCGGGACTTTGCTCCTTAGATGCATCGGAGGCATTAGAGACGTCCCCGCGCGTCTGGGCCCCGTCACAGAACTCCCAGTCCTCTGTTCCTAACACAGTGTTAGCAAGGCTTCCCCAGCTGGTGTCCACATTTTCAGTGGACACTTTATACTTGTTCCACTTGGAAGGAACAGGCACAGAGCCAGTTACGGGCATCTTGACTTCCATCCGTGGGCTCCACTGCATCCTTGGGGAGTGGGAGCAGGAGTCTGAGCACCACCCCAGCTTGTGTTGGCTCATATTGTCGGTGCGGCGGCAGCTTGGTTGTGTCCACGCGGCCAAGCTGTGCCTGAGGCTCCCGGTCCAAATCGGCCTCGTGTACTGGGTTTGAGAATGACAGCCGGCACACGATGCAGCCCATGCTGCAAACAAACCACCTCCAGCATCTGATACTTTCACTGCGCTCAGAAGTTTCTCTGTATTACGCTGTTGTTCTGTGTTCCCTCCAGTAACTGAATGCACTCATCCAGTTTCTCATGCTCAGTCTCCAGCTTCCTTTTTAACTTTTTGTCATCGCTGATTTCTTGGTACTGCAGTGATGGGGATAAGCCTCCTTGGGTCAGGATCACTCAGTGGTGGTGTATTTTGCATGCCTGTTGTTCCGTGGATATTTGGCCGTTAAAGTCACGGTAGCTCACGGGTGCCTGGCCAGCTCAGACAGTAGAGCAAGGGGTTGATCTTGGGGTTGTAAGTTCAAGCCCCAGGTTAGGTGTGGAGATTGCTTAAAAAAAATAAAAAATAAATAAAGTCAATGTAGCTCAGGAATAGTGTCCCCCTCCCCATTAGTTAATTTTCACACTGCGTATGCTCAGTGGTCTTCTGAATGTGGGAATCCCCGGACGGCTCTGGACATAGGCTGGGCTGCTTCTCTGATCTTTGTAGACAGGAGAGCTAAATACATTGTTAAATTTGTTTTAGAGATTATATAGTCAGTAGAGATCAATACTTTATTATTTTAATCCTTCCTGACTCTATTCTTTGACCTCTGCCACTTTTGTTAGTATTTTAAATTTTAATTTAGTTTGTTTTCTATAAATTAACATTGGTGCTTTTTGCAGCATTTTTAGTGAACTCCATCTTACAAATGTTAGAGTCTGTTTTTCTGTATACATCACTGATCACCACTACTGTTTCCTTATGGACTTAGGTCCTCCAATGTGGATTACGTGTGCGTGTTAGAATCCAGGCTCAAGAAGGCAAACCTCGACCACATCTTTTGGGGGTCTAGGGGACCAAAGTGTCTGGATATTTTTTAGCAATCACCTTAACCAGATGTACAGTTGCCTTAAAAGAGTCCTAGAGGGGCACCTGGGTGGCTCAGTCGGTTAAGCGTCTGCCTTCGGCTCAGGTCATGATCTCAGGGTCCTGGGATCGAGCCCCACATCAGGCTCCCTCCTCAGTGGGGAGCCTGCTTCTCCCCCTCCCCCTGCCGCTCCCCCTGCTTCTGCTCACGCTCTCTCTCAAATAAATAAACAAAATCTTTTTTAAAAAAAATAAAAGAATCTTAGAGGTGAATGTAGCAAAGTGATTGTGTGCTCTTCCCCTGAAGCCCAGACATCTGACCCTGAATTCTGTGAGGGCAGCAAGGAGCCCCAGCCCCAGTTTCTGTTCTCCTCATCAGTGTCGAGGTTTTCACTCGGAGGTCTGTCTCATCAGGGTGCGAGAGGTCGGCGAGCGCGTCCGTTGTCTGGTTCCGTCCTCCCCCCCGACTCATTCTTGTCTTCCCACCTTCCAGGTCGTGTTCGTCGCCATCTTACTGCACAGTCACCTGGAATGCAGAGAGCCTCTGCTCATCCCCATCCTGTCCTTGTACATGGGCGCCCTCGTGCGCTGCACCACCCTGTGCCTGGGCTACTACAAGAACATCCACGACATCATCCCCGACAGAAGCGGACCGGAGCTGGGGGTATGGCCTTCAAACACGCCCACGGCCTGCCTGTGCATCTGAAGGCAGTGGGGTTCTACCCCAGCCCTCCGTGAAATGGGAAACCTGAATAATAAGCACATGCCATAAGATGTTCAGTGCTAGGGCGTGTCCAGAGGCAGAGACCAGGTGGAAGTTTAATGGCCTCGGGAGACAGACGAGGTCTCAGAGGTCACTGTGCAGCCTCCTTATTTGCATATCAGGAGACTGAGTCATGGTGGGTCAGGTCAGGCTGAAGAGTAGATACGGCATTTTTGGTTCTTCGTACCCTATGCTGTGAAAAGCAAGTCATTCTATATATTAATCAACAAGTATTTGGGGCTCATGGTACCTTTAAACTCACATTTGGGTTATTCTTAAATTCACAGCGGGACTCGAGGCTTTGTTTATACTTTCTATGCTGGCCAAACACAATCGCTCATTCGGGCACCTTCTGTGGAGTGAGCAGAGCCTGTAGGCACCAGGGGTGGGACAGAAGAGCTTAAAATCTGGTCTCTGCCCTCAAGCAGCTGTATTACACCTCACCCGGTAGATGAGAGCAACACAGAAGCAACACTTAGACGTGGACCCCAGACAGCGCGCAGATCTGCCATGGAAATACAAGAGCCTCGAAGCTTGGAGAGGGAAGACAGTGATGAGGTCTGAGAAGCTGCCCCCACTCCTGGAAGGCGGCAGAGTTTGGCCTGCGCCTCCAAAGTGGAGTCAGATCCTAGCAGGGTATAATCCTCCCCGAGCAGCCCAGATACTTTTTTCATCACAAGTGCAAACAGTATCTGACTTACGTATATGCTAATCTACCCCACCCTTCGGTACCAGACATCCCTGGGCTTGGTTTCCATCGAGCTGTGAGGCCCATACACACGATTCCGCGTAGCCCCGAATACGTCCCCACAATCCACCCTCTGATCCCACCCTTGAGCACAGGTTACTCTTGGCATGTCAGAATAGTAATTGTATTGACCATTTACCTCGATCCGAGGGCAGGCCGTCAGTAAAATCTGATCTAGTTTCTTCTGTCACTAGGACAACCACATCAAATTGGTCTTGATGGTAACAATCCATCTCTGAACATTGAGCCGCCAACCAGGGGAAACAAAAGTGGCTGGCATGGTTCCACGATGTAACTCTTAACCTCTGAAGAATCAAAACCAAAGTTAAATCATAAAAGCCAGGGTTGAAAGATTGCACACCTCTTTGCTTTGTAGAATTCTTAATAAATCACATTTTCTTAACCGTGCTTTTATTTTTATGCTTCTGAACGTTGACCTGACTTCTGTCAAAGCTTTGAGACTAAGAACCTTGGTAGTAGATTTATACCCAAATAATTAGGCACATTTGTGACCTGACTGGTTACAAAAATAAATTATAATTTTTTTTTCTTTTTTTTTCACTTCTGAAAGTTAACCTCTTACTGACATGGCTTCTAGCCAGTCAGTTTGGTGATTTAAACAAAAACCAATTTCCAGCCTGTTTCCCAGGCCATGGAATGGGGTTCTGCCTGGCTTAGAGCTGCCCTGCTTGGAAAACAGTGATTTGGATCCATCAAACTTAAATGTGTGTTTTGATTTCGCGGTAACTTGCCAACTGTCTGAGTTAATTTCTAATAACACTGTACGGTTTATTTTAATTCAGATTGGCTTGGCTACAGAGGCTTTTCCTTATATTATTTTTAAGTACAATGAATTGACTCATTATGGACATCAAAAGGGAAAGCTTTGGCTCTGAACTGTTTTTTCTGTTCTGCTTCTAAAACTTAGTAACTTTTTATTTCCATTTCTTGACGCAGGGAGATGCAACCATAAGAAAGATGCTGAGCTTCTGGTGGCCTCTGGCCCTCATCTTGGCTACACAGAGAATCAGTAGGCCTATTGTCAACCTCTTTGTTTCCCGGGACCTTGGTGGCAGTTCTGCAGCTACTGAGGTAGGGCAGTTTCTGGGGATGGGGGCACTTGTGGTCACTTTGTGAAGAATAGAGGGGGGCGGGGGTGGGGAGGTGGATACAGACTTGTTTGCGATTCATCCGGAGAGCTCAGGTAATTCTGTGGTATCAAATTATGGGACCCGTTCACACTCAGAAGCCATGAGGATCTTAGAATCACATAACTGTTTACTTTTATGAGTACAGAAGAAAACATCTCCTTCGTTCTTCTCGTTTACCAGATCTGAGGCAAGGGCACAAAACTAGCAAGAAGGCGGGCTGGTAGTAGAATCCAGATTTGTCTGACTCCCACCCAGTGGCCTTTCAGTTTTCCTGTGGAGTTAGCATGATGCCTTACTGTGGTGACAGAACCCCACAGACTCTGCCATGCAGCCGCAGACGTGACCAGGCCCAGGCCATGAGGCCCGGTGCCCCCATTCTGACCCAGCCCACTCTCACCTGTTCCTGCCCTGCCTTCCTGCACGTACACGCCCCCCACCCGGCCCATCATGGCTCTGTGTGCTCCTTGGCAATCTGCCCTCCCCCCAAATGAGGATCTCCATTATTTACTCACTCACAACTCGAGACATTTATCTGGAAACTGGCAGCTACTCCAAAGAGTTGAATCATTTTTTCCATCTTTCAAGTATGGTATGAACAAATAGAATTACTTCATTTGTCTCCTCCTCTACTGCCCTCTGGAGAATTGATTCTGTCTCTGGAACGGCTGATCCTTCAGGAAGGCTCGTGGCCACTCATTAGGGCCTTCTCTTTCCACGTCGCCCTTGAATGCGGTGTCAGCGTGTCTCCAGCCTGGGATCTCCTGCCAGTTTCCATGTCCTGGGAAGCAGCTCATGTAGGCTTGGAAAGAGAAGCACATAAATCACAAGCAGGATGCTTTCTCCTGCCTCAGTTTGTTCCTGGATTTTGTGTTTTGGATCCCGAAGGTCATCTTAGGTGGCTCTTGTAACCCAACAGCTTTCTTAGTTAATGATATCAGTTTCAGTTGCTCAGGAAAAAAGTATGTGACCCCCATCACTTGTGTGCTGGAATTCCATCTTCCCGTTAAAAAAAAGAAAAAAAACAAGGTAAATGATAACAGTAGTCATTTCTAAAATGACCTCAGTGGCGTAGAGGCTCAGCACGGAGGGTGCAGGACAGATATGTATTGAGCATCTACTCCGTGTCTGCCATTTATGCAAATTTCATGGACTCCCAGCAAACCTGTGTGATGGATCTCATTAATCCCAGAGTTCTGCTGGAGGAACAGAAAGGGAGGTCTGAGAGGGTCCCTGCTTCACCCAGCTGGAAGACGACCAAGGGGAGGTTTGCCTTGGGCCCACACAGCAGGGTCCTCGCCCAGCTGGGGACTTACCTCATGTTCCAGGCATCAGTGTTATGTTAATTAAAATAGATGAAGCCTATACTTCTCCTTTCCTAGCTAGTTAGAGTTGAACTCTGCCAAAATGTGGGGTTTGATGCTTTGTTTTCATACTCCTTCCTTTTCATTCACATAAAAAGAGAAACTCTCAATTTCATGGAAGAACAGGTTTGGTTTCTGTAAGAAATATTTATTTAGTTTCTTAAGTTAAAAATGAAAATTGGGCTATTCTGGCTGGACAGATTGAAAGTGGGTTGAATCAGAAAGAGAGCACCAGAAAGCCACCAACCAGCGCATACTACCAGCCACCCAGAAGGACAGGGAGGAGGCGTAGATGTGGACCCTGCCCAAAGGCTATCTGGAGAGCAGAAAGGGCTCAAAGTCACATTTCGTGCCGCCAGAATTGGGCTAGACCGGAGGGCTCCATTTGGCTCGGTGGGAAGAGCAAAGAACCTTGGTCTGGTGGGCCTGGGTTCAAATCGTAGCTTGTCGAGCCAGGGCGCAGGCTCGCGCATCCCACTCCCATCCATGGTGACAGGGGAGCACCTGCCCCTCCCCGCTCCCCCAGGCCGTCCCGCGGCAGCTGGTGCTTGTCACCCAGTGGGGAGTGATCCATCTGCGGTGGCCGCCCCGGAGACAGCTCCCTCTGCCCCGTGGCAAGAGCAGCTACCGGAGATGCTCTCTGGGACGCCGACACTGACTCTGCTGCTTCTTCCTCTTGTAGGCGGTGGCAATCTTGACAGCCACGTACCCTGTGGGTCACATGCCATATGGCTGGCTGACGGAAATCCGTGCTGTCTACCCGGCTTTTGACAAGGTGAGAACCTGGATGGTGCGGTGTCTGAAATGCTCTCTTTAAAATTAGCCTTTGATAGACAGGCGTCTCCGATGAGGAACGCTCTGATACTCCCCGGTCTCACCTCCCTCTGTAAGGTGAACGTGGTGTGTGTGTGGCGGGGGGGGGGGGGCGTCAAACGTAATTGTGGAATATTTCCCTCAGAAAATAACAGAGGTAACGAAGCTTACCTTGGTGCCAATTCTCTAATGCCCTCCAAACTCTATTCACTTTTAGGTTATCCTATTGAGAAATTATTAAATTTTTTGCAAAGGGGAAAATGTACTCTCAAAAAAGTTTATTACATTGAATTTTGTTTCCGTGGTTTTTTTTTTTTAATTAAATAAATGGTTTGCTGACCTCATAGCAGATATGAAGGTATAGACAGGATTGTGCACTTGAGCTCCTAAGCTTCTGGATGGCTCTCTTTCGGTATATTCAGTGTCCATGCACCCCGAAGCTGTCCATGCAGCTGGCCTGGGTCCAGGTTGCTTTGGATGTGGTGTACTTATTCCAGCTGAAAGCCTCTGTGAACAGTAGCTCTGTCCTCCAACAGCTGCTGGAACAGCCTAGGCAGGTACACACCCTTCAGACCGGTAGCCTATGCCTGGGTTGGGACTGTCCTTCCAGTCACTGAATTAATGTCTATTTCATTAAAGCTTAATGACTTGAGCCTGTAAACATTTATAGCAAAACATAACCCCCAAAGATAGTATACAGTTTTTTTAAGAATTATTTATTTATTTGAGAGAGAGAGAGAGAGCAAGCAGGGGGCAGGGGCTGAGGGAGAGGGAGAGAGAAGCTCAAGCAGACTCCACATTGAGCCCCGAGCCCGACAGCGGGGCTCGAATTCACAAGCCTGAGATCATGACCTGAGCCGAAACCAAGAGTCAGATGCTTAACCAACTGTGCCACCCAGGCGCCCCTGTACAATGTTTTAAAATTAAAAATAGGGGGGCGCCTGGGTGGCTCAGTCAGTTAAACGTCTGCCTTTGGCTCAGGTCGTGATCTCAGGGTCCTGGGATCGAGTCCTGCGTTGGGATCCCTGCTCAGAGGGGAGCCTGCTTCTCCCTCTCCCTCTGCCCCTCCCTGCTACTTGTGCTCTCTCTCAAATAAATAAATAAAATCCTTTAAAAAATAAAATAAAATGAAATGAAAAATAAGAAAGAAGCACACAACCTGCCCTTGGACCTTTAACAGCAATTCCTTTGCCTTGAATTTCTATAGAACCAGCTCGGAGCCATTGCTAATACCATTTTATCTGATCCCAACAAGAGCCCTGGGATGTGAAGAGAGGAGGCCTCTCTGCTAGGGGCCCCAGCAGATGAGCTCTGGCAGCTCGGACAGAGTGGGTTCTGGCTGGCTAAGGCTGGCCTGCCTCCTCTCCCCCCCACTGCCAGACTCGCGTCAGCAGAGGAAACCCTAGGAAAGCACACAAAGCAAGGCCCAGCCACAGGCTGTAAGCTTAGCTCTCTCTTTCACATGGCCTCCAGCTTCTCAAATGTGTAGTTGTTTGTGGGCTTCTGGAAGGGGGCACGACCTGCAGAGTGGAGCCCCAGAAAGGTTTCCTCTCCACCTCGCGCTCTGACCCAGGGCACTCCCCAGGCATCTCTGACAGGGATGAGGGGGTGCAGACTCAAGTCTGGAAAGATAGCCTCCACTATGGGTCCACCTCCTTCTCTGTGGTCCACCAGCAAACTTGTGCATGCATGCACACGTGCACACACACCTCTGCTCACACATCCCCATCCGTGATGTCCTTCCACCCTGCACAGCCCCCACGCTGTTCTTCCTGTCACTGTCACCTGCCTCTTGTCCCATCCCATACTCACCTGTGAAGGGCAGCTCACTTTTCAGGGATTCCCACCATGCTGCCCAGCACACCATAGGGCCATGGTGTTGCCCAGAGCTCTTTACTGGTTGTGGAACTTCCCCCAATTGACTATTAGTTGGGCCCACTACCTATTTCAAACATCAGCATCTTGCAACATCAGGATGCAGAGCATCCCCTAAAAAATGCTCAGGATATTGAGAGCAAACTTTGAGAAGGCATGAGTGGTTTGCAGGAGATTTTTCTCCGTGCAGTCCCTGTTTGCATGAGTTTAATCCAATCTATTGACAGACATCGCTATTTTCCTTTTAAGGAACAGGCGTATAGAAGTAAATCCTAGAAAACCAAGATGGATGTAAGTCTTCTTGCTAAATTTCTAGCTCTTGGAGAATCAGATTATATAATAAAACTTGAGGAGAACAGCAGGTCCTAAAGTATTAGAACCTCCTGGCTGGGAAAGTCTCATCTGGAATTTTTTTGGCTACCTTGAAATAATACAGCTTAACAATACAACACTATACAGTTTCACTAGGCGCGTCCAAGGAAAACTTGGTTTTGTTCGTGATCACAGATGTTAGGTGCTGTGAAAAAATCCCTTTAACGAGCGTACCTCTCGCCAGCAACTGGAGTTGCTCAGAATCCTTTTGGAGCGTTCCTCCTCATTTCCAGGCATTCCAGAAAGCTCCTCCAAGCCATCCGTGTGAATGCCGTCTATTCACCCAAATCTGAGACACCTCTGTGTGGACTTGCAGAATTTGCTGCATTGACAATTGAAATCCTTAGCCTCTTTGTGCGTTCCAGAATAAGAGATTTAACATTTCTTGCATAACTTCTGATGGCTCTCACTAAATATCAACTGGGAGCGTTTTCCACTCGTACAAAATCTCTCCGACGTTCAGTTACCATCTGAGAAAGAGTCTTGTTTCTAAACGGATTGGGCAAACAAAGCAAAACACAGATGCCAATCTAATGATACGTGCTAGTTTATTCCAAGCCTGCTGGCAGAAATATGTGCTCTTTTCAAAATGAAAGCACACCTGAAGGCTCTCTGGCGCCCTGCTGTCCCACCGGGGGTGACACGGGTGACGCCCCGCTGCCCCACCGCGGGTGACATGAGTGCTTTGAGTTTGCCTGATTCTTCGGGGTGGGCCCCCCCCCCGGGCGCCTCTCTCGAAGATCCCCCGGGGTAGGAGAGATGGAGAGATCCTCCCACTGTGACTTGCACTTCGCTGTGGCAGCAAAATCTGTTATTCAGAAAAGCAGATCTACTTTAGAGGCTGGAATTAGGAAAACATAGGCTCAACCAGACGTTTGTGCTGGCGGTTTCACGGGGAAGGGATTTGAGAGATCGCCGCAGCCCCCAAAGTAAAGGAACCATCAAAAGCTCTTTTCCAAGTGGAACCTGTCATCGCTCTGCCCGTGTGTCCTTCATTCAGCTAGACACGAGCCAGGTGCTCGGGGACTGATTTGGATCAGTCTGGGACCGATTGGATCCGTATGGAGGCAAGGGGTTCTTTTCTCCACTGGTTTTCATAGTGAGGGGACAGGTGATGGGCATACTTAGCGGTGGCGCTGGGATGGTCTCAGGAAGCCTCGGGAATATGCAAGAGGACGTTTGAGCTCTCTGCTCTCTTGGCTTAAAATTAAGTGTAACAGAGATGGGCACCTTCTCTACTCAAGAAAGATCGTGCTACGTTGCAGGAGTGAAAGAGTAGGGTGAGGTGCACAGCCCTGTATCTCAGAGAGCCAGTGCCCCCCTCACACGCTTCCATGCGTGCCCCCTGAATACATCCGCACCTCCAGAGAGCTCTGGGGTCGCCCGGCATTCCAGGAAGCGGGGCCCCAGGGCAATTTGGAGTAAAAGATCAGAGCGGCCTTAAGAAACAGATGGGCTGTGCCAGTAACGTGCCCTCAAGACGGGGGTTTTGAAAATCAGAAGACCCAACGGGACAAGGAGGGACAAAAGCACAGTAACGGGAAAACACCGAGTACGTTAGGGGAAAAGCAAGAGCTTCCGTCTGGAATGTGAGGGGAGGAGGGTGCGGCAGGGTCAGCAGGGCCGAGAATGCCCACTCGCGCTCCCGGTCCGCTGGTGGGTAGGACGGGGCCCCGAAAGGGGGCAGGGCTGTGGCTTCGCGGAGCTGCCAAGTGACCAGGAGGGGCCACACTAGGACTAGGCTGGGTGGGGGCCCAGCGCCACGGGGAGCACACATTCAGGAAGCCCTGCCCGGTGTTCCAGCCACCACTCCCTCTGGTTCATGTTCACGTCCAGCAACCTGACAGCCGTCCTCCCAGCTGTCAGGTGACATTTGTACCTCCGACACATCAAATAAAGCCGAAGCAAGACGCTCCTCAAGTGGCACGTGTGGCCAGCCAAGGATAACCACTGTCCTCCTCTTTCCTGCTAGAATAACCCCAGCAATAAACTGGTGAGCACAAGCAACACGGTGACCGCAGCCCACATCAAGAGGTTCACGTTTGTCTGCATGGCCCTCTCGCTCACGGTAAGGGGAGACCAACATCACCAGCCCCTCTGGTGGTGGTTTTGGAAAGGGGGGAAGTGGCCGTTTTAAAGGGAGGAGGGCTGTATTCCATACCGTGAGGTTATACGGAATTAATTAACAACCCAAAATATGAACAGTAGTTCCTTAGGAAGGTCGTTGAATCTAGGAATAAACGGTAGACTTCCAGCATGTCCAGGAACTTCTAACACGCTAAAGGAAAGGCTGAGTTTGCCTTTCATTTTAATAATACTCTTGTCTTACTGAATAACTTCTGACCCCTTTTTAAACACCCAAAGTCAAGGGTATAAACATCCCTCTCCCAAATTGAGGTGGGCGTTACTTCAGTTAACCCCAGTACAAGTTCCCTTCCCCATCACACGTGCCCTGCTGCCGTGTCCTGTCTGCTTACCCATCATTCGCTGCGTGCTTATCAAGCACCTACCGGATCCCAGGCCCTGCGCCATCCTCACGGGTACAGCTGTGGACCCCCGCGGATAGCACCCCGCTCTGTGCATGGCCTAAATAAACAGCACACGTCCTCCCTCTGTCAACCCCCAGGGGTAATTTCAGTGTAGAAGATACTGTTCAAAAAACATGGAAAAAATACGTACATGGTGTATAACCCAAAGCACATGGTATATAACTTAAGATGGTTTAGAGTAGCAAAAACAGAAAAGCACATTTATAAACAAACTTACATTGTGGACTATGCCCTTTGAGTTCTAAAGATGGGGATGACAAGGAGGTAAAAAGAAATGCAGGTCTTTTTTTTTTTTTTTTTTTAAGATTTTATTTATTTAGAGCATGCTCGAGGGTCGGGGGGTGGGGGGGCAGAGAGAGAAAATACCAGACTCTGGCTGAGCGTGGCATCTGATGACATAGGGCTCGATCTCACGACTCTGAGATCATGACCTGAGCTGAAATCAAGAGTCAGGATGCCCAATCAACTGAGCGACCCAGGGGCCCCGAAATGCAGGTCTTTTGAACTCAGTTCAGTCTTCTTGTTTGTTGTTGGGCTCCGTAGTTCCTCTTAAGTCCTGCAGAAATTCTCCGTTTATAAAGTACAAGTATGTTCCGGAAATCCCAGGGGTGCTCTGCTCTTGTCATCGATGACCAGGGCTGAAGGGCTGGTTACACTGATGACAGGCACACGGTGATTCTAGCCCCTCTTCCCATCATCACAAGAACCATTCATTGGCTTGATGAGCCCTGATAGTGGTCCTTATAATGGAGCCCTAAGCACGTTTTAAACCTTTGATAGATATTTTTCCAAAGCCCACAGCTTAATCTTTGCTCCGCGGATCCCACACCTGACTAGATTGTTAACAAGGGCAACACGAGACTAATAGCCTGTCACGTCGCGCATCGTGACCTTGTGTCCTCAGCGGCCCCTTCACCCCAGCCTGCCCCTCCTGCTAGTCCATCCCTCCTGACTCTGGGGGAGGGGGCGCGGGGAGGGGTGTCAGGAGCATCTTCCAGTGTCACCTCACCGAGGAGGAATTTCCGATAGCACGCCTGTGTAGTTGGGACACATTACCCCAGGCAACCCTGCTCCCCTATTTGTGTTATTCCTCTATGGTGTGCAAGTTTTTCCATAGTTCCCTAAAATATTAGGAAAACAGTCAGCAACCTTGAAACTGTTTAAAAGAGTATTTTAGAAAAAGCTGAGAAGGTTTCTATTCCAGGAACAGACCTCAGCTTTTGGAGATGATAGGAAATGATTGGAAGTCAAAAGTTGAGTTGACTCAGATTCCAGGTTCTGTGACTTGGACCTCATCCCTCACTGGATGCCAGAAGCTTTTGGTTGTCACTGGCTCTGTGATCCGGGTCTGACCTCCTCTGTCTCCTCTCACTCCAGTTAAACGTCTTCCCCCGGCTACCGTTGAGTCGGATGGAGAACTTCGCCAGCCTGGGTTTAAGGCTGTTCCTTCTCTCGTTCGGTGTGCGGGCAATAACCTGTCCCTCTGAGACCAGCAACTGGTTTACTTTGAAATGGGGATGATTTAGAAACATGCTTAGATTTCCCATGTAAAAGTTTTGTTTATTTCATTATTCTAATCCCGTCCTCCTTCCTGTAACTGAAGTATGTCAGGGTAGATTTTCCCCATAGAAATGGAGACTCAGAGTCCTTCGTTGGGAAGAAACTTGGAGACGAGTGAGTCAAAACCCTTTATTTCTTAGAAAGGGAAAAGACTCAGAGAGGATCAGTGACTCGCCCGGGCACCTGTCATAGAACCTGCCAGAAGCCAGCCTTCCAGGCCCACTCTCTAGGCCCTTTTGTCCAAACTGTGAAGCTTCCAGAGCGAGTAGGAACAGCTGTCTGGCCCTGAGCCTCCAGACGTGGGCGCCATGCTTTGAAGAGGCGGTTTCTTTAACACTAAAAACAGTGGTATTTGAGTTTGCAGCTAATGAAGTGTCTCACATACGTTCTCCTTACAGTGATTCAGTTGGTCCAACATCTTGGCTATAGGAATTGTCCTTAAAAGATATAGGAAAAAAGGAAGCAACTTTATTTTTTAAGATTTTATTTATTTATTTGATAGGGAGAGAAAGAGAGACCACAAGCAGGCGAAGTAGCAGGCAGAGGGAGAGCAAGAAGCCGGCTCCCCGCTGAGCAAGGAGCCCGATGTGGGGCTCGATCCCAGGACCCTGGGATCATGACCTGAGCCAAAGGCTGTCGCTTAACCGACTGAGCCACCCAGATACCCCAATAAGCAACTTTTTTTAAAAGATTTTATTTATTTATTTGAGAGAAAGCATCAGAGAGAGCTCGGGCAGGGGGAGAGGGAGCAGTAGAGGGAGAGGGAGAAGCAGGCTCCCCGCTGAGCAGGGAGCCCGACCGGAGGCTCGAACCCAGGACCCCGGGATCATGACCTGAGCCGAAGGCAGACGCTTCACCGACCAGCCAGGAGCCCCTGTAAAGGACTTTTTTAAATTGGAGTATAATTGACACACGATGTTACATTAGTTTCAGGTGTAGGGTTTGTTTCTGGCTTTTCTTTCCTAAATTAAATGTTAAGCGGTCACTATGATTCCTTTTTGCAGCACTGTCTGTGTTCAGTCTTCACATCTGTCGCTCCTCCTCGTAGGCTCTGAAGTGCCCAGGTCAGGGTGTGTGGGGCAGCCACCTTCTACCCCAGGGCCGAGCATCCTGTCCGACCCAGAAGGTGCACAATAAACCGCCACTTAAGACTAAACTCTGAGGGCGCCTGGGTGGCTCAGATGGTTAAGCGTCTGCCTTTGGCTCAGGTCATGATCCCAGGGTCCTGGGATCGAGTCCCGCATCGGGCTCCCTGCTCCTTGGGACCCTGCTTCTCCCTCTGCCTCTCTCTCTCTCTCTCTGTCTCTCATGAATAAATAAATAAAATCTTTAAAAAAAAAAAAGACTAAACTCTGAGTCAGAAAGCCACCAGTGTCCCCCACCCCGGTGAGCGACAGTCTCCTTTCTTAGACTCAGCGTGTCCTACTTTTAACGCTTTTAAGAGGCTCTTTCCTCTCAGGTCCGTTTTTGTTTTTTTAACTTTAAAACTTAGCGTCAGGGAATTAATGTCGCAGAGGCCATTGAAACACTCAAGAGCAGCACATGTTGTGTCTATTCGAGTGGATGATACTACATACAAACTCTGAGCTCTCTGATGGTTCTGGAACTTTCTGTGGGTCACCTAGAACTAAAGCGCTTTCCAGAGCTCCATTTCTTAGGGCACCCCAGCTCTTCCCCTCGGGTCTTCGAGAAGAGCTGACCCCATTGATTCCACAGACACTCGGTGACCCAGGGATGCTGACTGCTTTTCAAAAGAAGGTGTGTACTGTCTAGAACAAAAAAATCCATCTTTCCATCAGAATGGGCTCACTCTTCAGGCCCTGATATTTTGGGGTCAGCATCCACCTGGGCCTGTGAAAAATACAGCTGTGTTACTTTTGACAGTTAATAGTCAGGAAGCAGGAACAGCGTTCCTTCCCCTTGGGGAAAGGCACTGGTAATACTAACCTTGCAGAAACTCGGCCTCTTGTTAGCTAGCCCCTCTAGATTTCCCATGATTCCTTCCCGGATTCTAGATTTGGGGGTAAAATAGGAACCACTAACCAGGGGAGGATGTGTCTTCTCAACAGTCCTTTTGATGAGGAAGAAGTGTCCCAAAACGATAATGGACCTCCGATCCCTGGGTGCTAGGCCAGGTTGGTGAAAGCCAGTGGATTGGCTTGCTAAAGTTACCAAACTGCCAATCTACCCCAAACGTTTGTTTTTTTAAACTATTTCTACAGTCCATAGCAAATCAAATTAAATGGGGAAGTCTTAACATTGTTGGGTGATTTTAGTTGACCAGTTTCTATTTTGACTTCACAATAGCATTTGAAGAACATTTGGTATTTTCTTAAACTCCTTTCTGCTCTAGTTTTGGGGAGCTGGTGCCAAGAGGGTAGCCTCTCTGCTGCAAGAGAGCTGGAGAAAAATCCATGCAAAGCACAGGCTTGGCTGTGCTGAGGCCTCCCCAACCCCCTTTTGACAAAATGGAAATGGGCATCCGTCCAGATGGATCTCGGCAGGCAGAGCTAACAGGGTACTTTTGTGCAGTGAACAACCTACCAGTCATACCCAGCATCCCTTGAACCCAGGGAAAGACAGGAGGGGAAGATGGAGGAGTGCAAGTCAGAAGGAGAAGGGGGAGAGACTATGGGTCAGAAAAAAGAACGGAGAGTTTGAGAGTCAAGGCAAAATGGAACGGAGGCAAAGGTGGGGGGACACAGGCAGGTAGGGAAGCTCTGAAGGCCCCAGAGACACCTGGAGCCCTCACAGCCCTCCGGGGCCCTGCCTGTCCTTCCAGTACAAATTACTGTAAGTTTTAGAAGAGTTAAAAAGACAAGTTTTTAAGAAATCAGTAAGTTGGACAGATTGTCCGTTGGCCCATTAGGCTCTTCCACCAGTTGATTTTTGGTGGGCTGGCCTATTTCAGGAAGGCAGTATGGAATGGCGTCTCCCTAGGCTTCTCCAGAGTTGGCTT